AAACTAGGAGACTTAGGAGCACTAATACATAGAAGCAAATATAGGGAGGCAGCCCAAATGGGAAGACAAAGAAACATGTCCCAAATGAAAAGACAAAACAAAGTCCCAGAAAAAGAGCTAAACAAAATGGAGACAAGCAATCTACGAGATGCAGAGTTCAAAACATTTGTGATAAGGATACTCAATGAACTTAGAGAAAGAGTAGATGAACTCAATGAGATCTTTAACAAAGAGAGAGAAAACATAAAAATGGAGATGACGAACATAAAAGAGAACTAGTCAGAAATGAAGATTACAATATCTGAGATGAAGAGTATATTAGAGGGAATTGAAGAGCATATTAGAGGGAATCAACAGATTGGATGAAGTGGAGAATCGAAATAGCAATTTAGAGGATGAGGTAGCAAAGGACACTCTATCAGAACAGTAACAAGATAAGAGAATCGAAAAAAATCAAAAAAAATAGTTTAAGAGGCCTCTGAGACATCGATCACACCAACATTTGCATCATAGGGGTACTGGAAGAAGAGAGAGAGTAATTTAAAACTATTTAAAGAAAGAATAATGAAAAATTCTCTAACCTGGTGAATGAAATAGACATACAAGCCCAGGAAGTACAGAGTCCCAAACAAGATGAATGAAAAGAGGTCCACTCCAAGACGTATTATAATTAAAATGCCAAAGGTTAAATACAAAGAGAGAATTTTAAGCAATTAGTTATCTACAAGGGAGCTCCCATAAGATTGTCAGCTGATTACTCAACAGAACTTTGCAGGCCAGTTGGGTTTGGTACAAAATATTCAAAGCGATGAAAATCCGGGACCTACAACCAAGATATCATTCAGAATTGAAGGACAGATAAAGAGCTTCCCAGACAAGAAAAAGGGAGTTCTCCACCACCAATCCAGTATTTCAGGAAATGTTAGAGGATCTTCTTTAAAAAGAAGAAAAGAGTATAAAAATGTGAATGAAGAATGGTAATAACTACATATCTATCAATAAGTACCTCAAAAGAAAAAGTATTAAATGCTCCAATCAAAAGATAGTGTGGCTGAATGTTTAAGAAAACAAGATCTTTATATATGTTGCCTACAAGGGACTCACTTCAGATCAAAAGACACACACAAACTGAAAGTAAAGAGATGGAAAAGATATTTCATGATGGACCTAGAGGGTATATTGCTGGGGGGAGTAAGTCAGATATAGAAAAGAAAATGCCATATGATTTCATGTACATGTGTAATCTAAAGAACAAAATAAACAAATAAAACAGAAACAAACGCATAGCTACAGAGAACATTTTGAGGGTTACCAGATGGGAGGGTTTGGGGAGAGTCAGTGAAAATGTAGGAAGGGATTAAGAAGTTCAAATTGGTAGTTACAAAATAGTCATGGGTATGTAAGGTATAGCATAAGTAAAATAGCCAATAATATCGAAATAATTATGTACGGTGTCAGATGGATTTATTGGGGTGGTCACTTCATGAGTTTTATAGATGTCTAATCATTATGTCATACACCTAAAACTAATATAATATTGCATGATGACTATAATTTAAATTTAAAAAATAGTATTTAAAAAGAAGAAAGAAACCACCTTTGCAAGGTGATGATTTGGGGAGGAAGGGGAATAACAAGAGCAAATAAAACAGAAGAAGCTGTTAAGAAGCTGTTGCAAGACATCAGACATCATAGTAATATCAGAATTTTTGACAACTTAAAATTCCAAATCAATTGGTTTAAGAGTAAAAATGATACTTGAGTTCATATAATTAAAATATCCAAAGGTAAGTCAGTCTCTAGGTTGAATTTGATTTGATCTTTAGCTCTCATTTAATCATTTTGTTTCTCTTGTCGGCTTTATTCTTGAGCCAGTTTTACTTATGGGACAAAATTCTATAGCTGTTTCGAGCTTTGTAGGTAGCATATCATCCAGAAAAAGAAAGAGCCCCTCCTTTTTCATCCACCAGATATAAACTTTAGGCTTAGTTGGATTGGACCAAATTAGGTCACTTACACACAATTAACTGATTATTTTAACAAAGCCTGGGGTTGGAGTTAAAATTCTGTTCCTCATCTTAGACCTTGGTTTCCATCTGGGGTCAAATTTGAGCCGTAGGGGGCATTTGGTAATATCTGAAGATATATTTGGTTGTTAAATCTGGAAAGGAACTACTGGTACCAAGTGAGTAGAGGCCAAAAATGCTGCTAAAAATCCTACAGTGCACAAGAGAACTCTCCATCACAATGAATTCTTTGGCCCAAAAGGTCAATGGTGTAAAGGTTGAGAAATCTTTAGATAATGGGTTCTCAAACTTAAAAGAACATATTAGAATAACCTAAAAGCTTGTTAAAACACAGATTTCTGGTCCCCATTCTTGGGTTTTCTGATTCAATAGGTCTAGAGAGGGGCCTAAGAAAAAGAAATTTTCTTTTTCTAACAAGCCTACCCATACTACCGCTGCTGGTGCTTCATAGTCCACACTCTGAGAAACAGACTAATCAGGGCCCTAGACTATAGCTGAGTGTGTAGTCAAGCATATAACAACATGCCAGCTCTATAAGATGAGGTGGAGTTTAGTGCATCCTGGAGAACTAACCCACTATGCTAATGCTCTCCATTATTTTCAGCAATTTCTTAGCCTTCCCAAATCCTAAAGTCCATATTGTCCTAGAATTTCCAGGTGGAAGAATTGCTTCCAGTACCCCTAGCTTCTCCAAAAGTTCTGCTTGCTCTGATCTCCTTTCTAAAGTCCTATAAAAAATGTACTCAAATTCTTTCCATCTCCCTCCTGCTGCTATTTTAATCAAATGAGATTAATTTTTTTAAATGGTTTTCTAGAAAACTATGGAATAAGCAAAAACAAATAAAGTAAATGTAAAACAAAGATATATCTGAATTGATACACTACAGATCTCAATGTCCCTGAGGGCATGAAATGCCTTCTTGATTTTTTGCTTGAATATTTAACAACCCTCCTGCACCATTATGCCTCACCCATCCTGCCTCTCTCACTCATTCTCACAGAAAAATGAGGAGTAGGATCCCATCCTGATGACTCTTTGTAGGTTAACTATAGCTCTAGTATGGGCACAAGTGGTTTTCTTCAGAGGGGTTCAGGACATAAACAAGGAGAGCAAGCTATTTTTTTTGCTAAATAAGAAATATTTCAATAAAAGGGAAATGTAGAATGTTAACTATAGAAGAAAAAAAGACCATTAACATAGCAGTTATATCAACTCAGATTATTTTTACTGAACAGATACAATATTCAAGTTAAAGATCTTGCCAGAGATCCACCTAGAGCAAGTCTTCTCTCAAAGGACTTGCAAGTAGAAGGGAAATAAAAACATTAATAACTGCAATGTTGAGGGTACAGAGTAAAGGGGATCTCTGTGTGATACCAGACAAGGGAGGGTTACTTCCACTCTAGCACTAGGGAAAGCTTCCTGGAGAAAGAAGTATCACAGATGGGACATAAGGGTTGTTATCCATGCAGAGAGAGTTATATTTAAAACATGGTCAGCATCCCTGAAAATACAATTATTTTAGCATAATTACAGTAACCTTACTTTGACAAATAATATTTCGGCAGAAGCAGGAGATGATGTTTTAAAGAGGAAACCAAAGTACTGTCACCATTGAGTTGTACACAGATGATCCTTGACCTATGATAGGGTTACATAATAATGTATCCATTGTAACTTCAAAATATTGTATGTCAAAAATGCATTTAATTCAGCAAGCCTGCTGAATATTATAGCTTAGCCTAGCATACCTTAAATATACTCAGAACACTTACATTAGCTTACAGTTAAGCAAAATCATCTAACACAATGAACACATCATAGAGTATCAGTTGTCAACCCCCATGATCAAGTGGGAGCTGTGGTTCACTACCACTGCCCAGCATCATGAGAGAGTATCATACCACATATCGCTAGCCCAGAAAAAGATCAAAATTCAAAGTACGATTTCTATTGAATTGTGTATCACTTTCATGCCATTATAAAGTTGTAAAATTGTACTTTATTTTAGTTATTCTGAGATACATTTTTTTCTCACATCTCACATCTATAAAATCTGGGTGGATTCTACTATTGATAAGATGTAATAATAAATTCACAGTTCTTAATTACTTTTCTGGTGTATAAATTATGATTTATCTCACAACCTATGAGAACTCTGAGTTGATCAAATATGATGGTTATTTGATGGTTATTTGATTAAATATGATGAGAGTGACTCCTAGGTTGAAAACTTGAGATTCTGGTCTTCTGGGTATTTATTCCAAATGGTAAATGAGAAATGATGACAGTTCATGGGATATTCTGATATGACCTGTTAAGAACACAAGCAAATTTAGCTCTTTGTAAGAGACATTTTAACATCCATTTTAAAGCAGTATTATTTACAATAGGCAAAAGGTGAAATAATTCCATGTTCATTGACAGGTGAATGAATAAGTAAAATATGTTATATAAAAACAATGGAGTATTATTCAGCCTTCTTTAAAAAGGAAAGAAATTCTGTCACATGTTACAACATGAATGAATCATGAGGACATTATGCTAAATAAAATAATCCAGTCACAAAAAGACAAATATTGATAATTACATGAGGTACCCAGAACAGTCAAATTTATATAAACAAAAAGTAGAATGGTGGTTTTCAAGGTCTGGGTGATCAAGAACTGAGGAGATGTTGTTTAATGGGTATAGAGATTTAGTTTTTTCAGATGCAAAGAGTGCTAGAGATTAGATGCACAAAAAAATGTGAGTGCACTTAATACTACTAAACTATACATTTTAAAATTGTTAAGATAATAAATTTTATGCCGAGTATATTTTACCACAATTAAAGAATAGATTTACATTAAAAAGATAGAAATCGAGGAGAAAGGGGAAAGTCTTTTAGAAAGAGGCTAAAGTGATGTAAAAGATAAAATGATGTAAAAGAGTGAGAAGTAGACAGAAAAGAAAATTTTTAAAAAACTAACCAGTGCCTCAAAAACCATAACACAAGACATATGAAAAGGATCAAGGAGGGCACAATTATTGCTGAACATATCACACCGATGGAGGTGGGGTGTCCTGGCAATTGGGGGAGAACATAAGAATGTCACTTCAAAATTCATTCTCTGATTCTCCTGAGCTTTCTTTGCCCATCTGGGTGTCAACACAGTTATTCACCTGCTGCTGATGTATGGGCATCTCTAATTCTCTCTTATATTTCCTGATACCATGTGTTCATATCCATCCCCTGTCTCTCCCTCGTGCCCCATCTCACCCAATCTATAGGTCTTTTATTCTTACCTTTTCTATACCTTAGGTGTCTTCTCTCTCTCTCCGTCTCTCTCTCTCTCACTTTCTCTTTTGTCTCTCTCTCAGTCTTGCTGTCTCTCTCATCTCCCTCTCTCTCTCCATTAACTCTCACCATTTTTCTAGTCCCTCCTTCTATGCCTGAGGATCATCCTCTCCCATTTATAGCTGGGCCCCAGTTCTTTCTCACCCCAGTAAAGGATAATGTCTTGGCCTCCTAGACTGCTGTGCTTCACTCGGCAATTCAGACCAGCTGCCTCCCCAGCCGCAATATCTAGGGTTACTCGGAGATACTATGTCCCATCAGCTTTGGGAAGGATGTCACCTTGCTGAGTTCCTGGCTGCTCATGCTCACCTCTCATCCACATTACCCATGCAGGTTTTGAGTAAAATCCTGAGACATGATACACCAGCAACAGAAGGCCAGGCCCACAACTGAGTCCACTTGAAAGCCAGGCTTTGGACTTTACTGTAGCAGGAACGAGAAGGGACAGTGTCAGATTATGGCTTTAATCTAGAGCATAGGGACTCAAAAACTCATAAATTTGGACAGTGACCCCTTCTACTCCTTTGGAAACCAAATCACTCATTGATTAAACTCCTCTCTTCTTATTTACCTTCTACTCTTGAATTTAAACAAGGTGATGGGAAGTGAAATTAAAAAGTCTTGAAGAGAGAACAAGACTAACCTTGCCTCTGCAGTTCTGCCTTCCCTACATTGAGAACACCTAAGAGATATCGAGGGCAGGTTTCTAAGAGGAGCTTCTCTATGGTATCATAGATACCTTGGTTCTGAGTGTGCTGTGCCATGCTGCTGCTCTCTGAGACAGGCACACGTGAATCATTCTTCAAGCTCAGGAAATCCAGGCCTCCTAAAGCTCCCCTCAAGAAGTTTACTGTGGCCTCCCCAGAATGCAGCTCACAGCCTGCTATGCCTTGGATCTCAAAGGGGTCTGGATAGAAGGAAACCAGAGAAAAGTTTATTAAATACAAACAAGAAAGAGAAGGACCTAAGATGTTGGATTTTTGTGGGGAGAAAAGTCTGAGATGTGAAATGATGAGCCATCAACCAACTCAGTACCATCGTATGCCACATAACAACATTTCAATAAGCAATAAACCACTTGTACAATGGAGCTGAAAAATTCCTATTGCCTAGTGACACTGTAGCCATCATAACATCATAGTACAACACATTACTTGCATATTTGTGGTGATGCTGGTGTAAACAAATCTACTGTGCTACTAATTATATAAAAATATAGCACATACAAATGTACAGTACATAATACGTGATAATGATAATAAATGACTGTTACCGGTTTATCTATTTACTATATTTTTTTATTATTTTAGAGTATACTCTCCCTACTTATGGAAAAAAAACTATTTGCTGTAAAACAGTGTGCTATGTTACACTGGCAGTAACCTCATACATCTCATATGTCTCTTGATTGCATTAGTTTCTCTTGTGCTTGATTTTCTCCCACATTATTTTATATAGTAACATGTGTACAGGTTTGTAGCCTAGGAGCAATAGGCAATGCTATAGAGCCTAGGTGCATAGTAGGCTATATAATCTAGGTTTGTGTAAGTGCACACTATAATGTTTGCACAATGATGAAATCACCTAACAACATGTTTCTCAGAACATATCCCTGTCATTGAGTGGTGCATGACTGTATTTCAGAGACTTCAGAAAGAAGAGCATAGGAGAGAAGTTTGCATGTCACAAATGATAGAGAAGGGCTGTCATAATGAGGTACAATGGATAAGAAGGGAGAAGAGGTGCAAAGTGTGAGAAGAAGGGTGATGAAGTCAGAAGTACAACATTCCAGGGTGAACAGGAGAATTACATTGAGAAGAGGGATCAAGCAGGAGATGCTTGAGGAGATGGATTAGAGGAGGAGGAAGTCACACTTTAGTTCACTCAAGCACAGTGTAAGAGAAGAAGGTTTCTTGTTTGAGATTTGAGAGAGAAAAAATTATACACAAACCAGGAGACGGTCACAAAGGGGTATCTTTATCTATCATACGAGACTGCAGAAAGCAGGAAAAATCTGGAATGAAGTCTGAGTAGGAGACTACTTTAGAGAAGTGTGTGCATGCAGTTGGGTAAAGTAAGAAGGAGGGGTGAAAGATCATGGAGAATAGTAGCCTAAATTAGGAGAAAGAAAAAATTCAATGGGAATCTCCACAGATCCAAGGACTGCATTCACATTTCATCTAGAATTCACTGACATGGTCCTGTATTACCCGAATGAATCCAATTAAATAGACTAGAAATAGCTCCTTCAGCTCAGTCACCTCCTCGTCACTGAAGTTACCCTTGGACCAGGGCTTCAGGAAAATAGTAGTGCCTGAGTCACTATCCCATCCATGAATCTGCAAATCATGCAGCCAGCTTAAGCCTTGATTTTGTGCCCAGGTGCTGTTGGCAAAGGATAATATCAGGATGACGTGGAAAGAGGTTGGCCCCTGGAAAGCTGTGGGTAGTAGAAGGATAAAAAAGTGAAGAGGAAAGGAGAAGCAGGAGGGAATTTTTTTAAAAATGAAAACAGAAAAGATCCAGAGCAAAAGAACCCAAAGTCTGAAGAACAAAATAAATCCTGAGACATTTGCCTGTGCAGGGCCTCAGAAGCCATCCCCGACCTACAGAATGAGAGGAGGGCTGGATACAGGAGGACCCAGACCCATAGGGGTAAGTGCAGCATGCTTTTATCCAGACCCCCTACACCCATGCTGGGGGCTGCCAGAGTACTCTTACCATCCTCATTGTCACCACCTGAGATGAGAACTGCTAGCAATAGAAGTGACGGAGGCAGCATTTCACTGTGAGAGAGAACTTCTGACTCCTAAGAGCTCACGAATGATCTCTGATTTCAGTAAACCTTTTTCTCAATACTCTATAGTGACTTCTTCTCTTTTCCAACTGACAAATCTGCTCCTCATCCACGTCACACATCGGAGAAAAGCTGTACCGCCCCCCAGCCCTGGGCCTCCCACTCTGCTTCTCATTTGCACTCTAGCCCTTGATTTCTGGACTTTTTTTTTTTTTAATCTCTCTGGCTTCCAGTTGTTCTTCCTGATCTCAGCTTTCTTCATACTTATGAACTTGAAAAAGCCCCCATCTGATCCTGAAAGGTTATTTCACCTCCCCAATCATTTATTGCAACATCTGTTAAATATTAAACAATTGTTCTGCTTCTAGCCTGCTTTAATGTAGAAAGATTCTTTTGGTGCACCCACCCAACTCGACCTTCCTCTCCATGGTCCTCTCTTCTCTGGCACTCTATTATTACCTCTTCTCCGCATTCCCAGTGGCTCTTCTTCCCTCATCCCCGTATCTGGGCTCCCTGATCCCACGTTTTTGATCACATGCATGTATGTATGTGTGTATGTGTTGACAATCATTTACAAAAAACAGAGCATTTAAAATATCGTCTAGACAGTATACTGCATTTTCTGCAACTAAACTCAATTTAAATTTCCTAACATGCCAGAGTTACCACAAGGTGGTAGAATTCTCAATTCAGATGGGAAAGATAAGAGGTAGAGGAAAGGGAAGATTGTGGTTAGTCATTTCACTCACCACATTTTGTTTAGCATAAAGCAATAACACATTTGTACACATAATAAGATACATATTTTGATAAATTTTTACAAGTATAACCAACATGTAAAACAAGGTATAGAATTTTTTATCACCCTTTATAGTCACCCCATCCCCCAACACACACACACACACACACACACACACACACACACACACACACACTACACATACACACAGTGGCAACCACTGATTTCTGTCATCATAGTTTAGTTTTGCTTGTAAAATACAAAACAAAACATCAACAACAAAATCCGCCTGGACTATAGTGGTACAAACCCAAATGCCAGAATCAAATGTGATAAATATTGCAGTTTATAATCCAAACAAAATTGTCTTATGTCATAGCAAGTTTTGAGAAGGAAAATTACATTTGCTACTAGTATATGATATTCTTTTCAGTAAGTCTTGACCATTGAAGGTTTGAGTAAAAAATTTTCATGAGACAAGCAAAACTTTGAAAGTTTTGTTATGTGTAGCTTCAGCATATGTCAAAATTAACTTATAAAAAAGTTTATAAGCAATAGAACCTCTTTCTCCTTATGTAATATCTCACAGCCTCAATCTACATTTTGGCCTTTCCTATCACCAAATAAACCATTATGAAGTGAGCAGTGACCTCATTTTTTCACTAAAAGTTTAGAGCTACTTATCTTATGATGTCATCTATTTTCTTTTAGTATGCTTTTGGCAGGGTTTAACAGTATATTTAGCATCCACTGAGTAAAATATTTGGACTCTAATCATTGTTGGCTTTAAGTATAATTCTTGGATTTTCTCTAATCAGGAAAAGAAAATGACAAATTTACACAGGTCTACATATCATCTATTAGAAATGCGGTAGTAAATCTTTCCAAATATAAAGAGTTTTCACTAACTGATTCTATTTACATATATAAGAAATGGCAAAATAAGTTATGTAACATTCTCTATTCTCAGAAATACATTATTAAGAGTAGCCTTCATCTAAGATTATCACTACCTCATTATAAAGTCCAAAATTACTATCTTCATTCCAAAGCATATAAATCTAAATAATATTCTCATAATTCAGGACATGATATAATCTATTCACTTTTAGTGTAACAGTCACAGACAACAGCAGAGACTTAATATTACCAGCCTTTAATGTTAAAGTCTTTTTTTTTTCTTTGTAAACCTTGAGTTTTGAATAGAACTCCAAAGAGTCAGTTTATTTGTTATACTGTAGATTCACTGACATGAACACATTTTAAGAACTTAGTTGTGTGCAAACATAATAAGTAGGTTAATTCTCCCACACACCAACTATACCACTGACAGTGATGTGGCAGTGATAGAGAGGTAAAGCAGTTAACCTTGAAAATGATGTCAAATGGATTAATGTGAGAGTCCACAGTGTCTTGGTGTACATTCAAAGAGAGACATGCTCTGAGAATGAAAAAGCACTAGAGATTCTGAGAAATACAGTCCCCATTTCGGGGAGTCAGACAATTTAAAATGCACTGGCACTCATTGTACCTTTGTCAACACCATTATTATCTAATGCTTGGCTGCAAACCTGACTACAGGTACTAAATACACTCACTAGGACATGAAGATGATGACCTAAAAGAGGAGCATTTAAAACTTAATTTTTACACAAGCCATTCCACACTAATACCATAAAGACTACTCTTTCAAATGTCTTATTTCCCCCAAACACAAGCTTGACTGGAAACAAATGTTTCAAAAATCCACATTACTCCAATCAAGAGGCTCAGAAGACAAGGTCCTGCTTTCCTGGTAAAAAGTAGAGTGAGAGAGTAGGAATTAAAAGGTAAAAATTTACCTCTGATTCCCCCAAGTTCTCAACAATAAGAAATACAACAAATACCTTAACATTCTACCCCAAAGGTAAAGAAGACACATGCCTTGGATCCAAAAGTGAGATTTCTGCAGCCCTGAGGTCAACAGAGGACCTTCCACTGAAGTATAAGGTAGCTAGCTGCTCAGTTGAGCTGGTATCTAATGGTTGTTTGAGGACTGCTACTGTGTGTAATAATCCCATGCAGTCTGAGCAATGGTCACAGTACCTAAAGATGCTAAACTAAGCAGAGGAAATTGAAGCAAGTGAGTTGCTTATGGTATTACTTTTTTTTTAATTTTGTGATTTTAACTAAGTAATAAAATTTAACAATAGATTCACAATGACACATATATTTTGACCTACTTATACATCTTATGCACTTATTCATTTTATCAACAGTATTTATTGAGTATTTATTGAGTGCCTACTGTTAATACCTATAGCGGCTTTGCACTACCTCTTCACCCTCCAAATTCTCATCACTTATCCCACCTTATCCCAAACTTGGAAATGAGTGCACAGACTTTTTTTTTTTTTTTAGCTCAGGAACCTTAATTAGTTTAATTTTGTCCAGGATCCATTGATATTTCAGAGTTGGAAAGAACCTCAAAGTTGATCTGTAAGGGACATATTTCCAGTGAAAATTTACCTTTAAGATAGTCTGATAGGCAAAGCCACTGCGTTTTTGCCTTATTGATTCTTTAATCCAAACTGTTTGGGGTTTGAGGTTTGTTTGTTCGTTTTTACATTGCAATACTCCTGTAGGTTTGTTTGTTTGTTTATTTGTTTTTTGCTATTGTCTAACTTAAGAGTGCATATAGTATGGTCCATATGGGCCTAATAGACGAATAGCAGATAAATGTACAAGTATATCTGGATTCAAAATTCTCGTGTCAAATTCTACTTTATTGTTTTCTTGCATCTATTGTTGATGAGGAAACGTCTATCACACTATTTGGTATTACTTTGTAGGCAACTTTTTCTCTTCAAAGATTTTCCACCTTTTCCTCCGTTCTTTTCTAATGAAACATCTTATCTTTAGACTCTGGAATTTCATATTATAGTGTGAATATCTCACAATTACTTACTTATTTTTTATTGAGGTGAAATATAACAAAAAATTAGTCATTTTAAAGTTTACAATTTAGTGGCATTTAGTACCTTACAATGTTGTGCAACTACCAGGTCTAACACCTTCCAAAACATTTTTAGTACCCCAAAAGTACATCCCACACCCATTAAACAGTCACTCCTCCCATTTCTCCTCCACCCCAGGTCCCTCTTAACTGATACTCTTTCTGTCTCTGTAGATTTACCTATTCTGGATTTTTTATATAAATGGGATCATAAGATATGTGTCCTTTGTGTCTGATTTCTTTAACATAATGTTTTTGAGGTGCATTCAAATGACTCATGTATCACTCATTCTTTTAATGGTTGAATAATATTTCATTGTATGTATATAGCACATTTTGTTTATTCATTTATTCATTGAGGGACATTTGGGTTGTCTTCCTATTCTTATTTACTATTGTGGATAGTGCAACTATGAATATTTGTTTGAATATTTGTTTTCAGTTGTTATGGGAATATACCTAGAAGTGGAATTGCGAGGTCAAATGGTTAACTCAATGTTTAAGTATTTGAGGAACTACCAAACTGTTTTCTGTAGAAGCATTACCATTTGATAGTCCCACCAGCAACATGTGAGTGTTGGAATTTTATATAGAATAGATAGATGATGATGATGATAATGATGATGATGATAGATAGATAGATAGATGATAAATACTATATCAGAAGTAAAAACTAATAAAATTTTTAAATATGTATTTGTTAACTAACAAAATAAAACAAATTGAATGTGTATTAAAAATAATATCCTTACTAATCCCCCCCCCAAAAAATGTAGTGAGGATAGTGATTTTGTAGCTATTTAAACATTTTTAAATAGTTTTGAAATTCTCTTTAACATCTGACTTACTAGAAGATAGCTATATTTTATATCTGTTTTTGAATACAACCTGATGCAATAGTACATGCGATATTATATAGTCTCTGGAAAACAGTGAACACTAAAATAACATCTTAGTATTGTTATAAGAATAGTTTTGAACTCATGGACCTTCTGAAAGGATGTCAGGAACTCCTGGTATTCCTGAATACACCTTGAAAACAAATAACTGAAATCAGGTATTTCTTTAGGGAATATATAAAGGTATTACACCTTCTTTATTATTTATCTTTATTAGTTAGAATATTTTAAGAGATACTTTATCTTAAATAACTACCTTATTACTCTGAGATAACAAAAGATAGAATAAATACTTGATTCTTTCCATTTATTTACCACTTTTCAAGAGAATTGCTTATATATCTTCCTAGGTA